AGATAACCAAATAAATGGAGTATGGGACTAGGAGCTAATCAGTCCCTTTGTTGTGGAATCGGAACAAGTCTTTCCTTCCTTTGCACCGAGTAGCATTTACTCAAGGTTACTCCCCTGCAGGAATCCCCGCTACCTAGACCTCCCTAAGGGACAAAAGGACTCCTGCCTTCTCATCTCCCTTCTGAAATCTACATCACAAATCCCATAGGATCTTAGATAGAGAGCTGGAAACATCTATTGGTCATGGTGTAGTGTAGTGGATAAAGTTGGATTTGAAGTCAGAAAGACCTGGGTTCAAATCCTGCCTCTGACACTTAGTAGCTGTGTGACCCTTGGACAAGTGACTTAATCTCTCTAATTCTCAGATTTCTCATCTACAAAATGAATGTTAGGGTGAGGTTATATTAGAAGGGATCTGCGGACACTTTCAGTTATAAATCTATGATCCTTTGATCTCCAACTACCTCATTTTACAGTTAAGGAAACTGAGACCCAGTCAGGTTAAGTGACTTGTCTATGGTCACACACCTAGCTGTACTCAGGACTTCTTAACTACAAATCTACTCACTTTACTATGCTGTCAATTTTATTTATAACTTAGCCATTTTTCCCCTTCAGCACACTTAATGCTGCAACTAAAGACATTTTCTGGCTCACTTTTCTTGCACTTCTTCAACTAGAATGCTCAGTGAAGAGATCCATATACTTCATAGACCACAGACAGACCCCGTTTATCCTCCTTGATTATTATTCTTACATTGGAGAGAGTAGACTTCTTTAGACCTTGGAATGTTTGCCTCCATCTTAGAAACTGGAAAGACTAAACATCCTAAAGTTTTTAAAAGCAACATCATGTGAAGCAAATGATATATATTTTAATGATATTTAATATTGTGTTAATCAAGAACCATTTAAATCCATGAGTTTGGCATGGCAGTGGAGAAAGTAATTAGAAAGTATTTTGCTCCATTATTGGAAAATAGAACTGCTAACTTAAGTAAAACACTAAACATATACACAAATATACAACACTCTGGTGAATAAAGGAATAGAAATTTTAAATAGTCTAATATTAGAAAAAGAATTTAAGCAAGATATACAAGAACCCTTAAATTAAAAAAGACAAATTTACAAATTCTGTCAGACATTCAAAAAATTATTTTAATATTATACAAAATACAAAAATAGGAAAAATTCTTATACCAAATTCCTTCTGTGATACAAATTTGATCTTGATAATTATAAGAGGGGCAAACAAAGCCTAAAAAAGAAAACTAGATCAATATCTTTAGTGAAAATTAAGGACACAAAATATTAAATAAAGATACAATAATATTAAAGAGAATGTTATTGAATAGGCTACAGACACATATTAAAAAAAGACCAAGTTGGACTCATACTAAAAACACAAGGATGGTTGTATACTAAAAAACTACAAGCATAATAGATAATATTCACAAAAAATTTAATAAAAATCACATGATTATATCAATAGATGTCAAAAATGGTGGGATTGTTTTTGCAAAATACAACACTCGTTTCTACCATAAAAATATTAAAAAGCATGAGAATTAATGGATCTTTCCTTAATGTGATAAGTAGTACATATCTAGAACCAAGAACCAACATGATTTGCTTTAGAGAAATACTAGAGACCATTTCAATAAGATCAGGGTTAAAGTAAGGATGTCCATTATCACTATTTATTTGATAAAGTTTTAGAAACACTAGTTATACAATAAAAGAAGAAATAGTCATTTTAACATTGGTACAATCCATAATTTTTCTTTCTCTTCCAAATCAGTTATTAAGTACTGTTAATTGCATCTCTACATATCTCACATTCATTTCTTCCTCACAGATACTTCCTTCATATGGGGCCACAATACCACATACCTGGACTACTGAAATGGCCCATTAAGAGATCTCTCCATTTCTATTATATCCTCTTTCCAATTTACCCTTCACCCTACTGCCAAATTAATCTTCCTTATGTATAGATCTAGTGATACCATTCCTCATTTAAACACTTCAGTAGCTTCCTATTACCTATGAAATAAGGTTCAAAATCCCTTTCTTCACATTCAAGAACTTCCACAATCTACCTTTCTTGCCACTTGTTATCCTATTCTTCTTGATTTCCTCTATGTTCCAGCAGAACTAATGGGAATACTCTTTTCTCTATAAACATAACAATCCCAGTACTTTCCCACCTCAGTGTCTTTGCTCATATATTACACAAGTCTATATTCTCATCACTACAAATGTGAACCCAGCTCATAATAATATTCATTCTAGAATCTCCCGTAGTGACTTACTTTTTCTTTTCTAACAAATGCATTCATCATGCACTATTATGTATTACTGTTACCTGTGTTTATCTATTTTATTGTTTTTTTTTCATAAAACAAACTCTTACTTTTATTTGTTAATTCAACAGTTTTCTTAATTTCAATTTTATTTTCTCCTTTAATTTTCAGAAATTTTAATTTGGTAGTTAATTAGTGATATTTAATTTGTTCTTTTTCTAGTGTTTTTAGTTGCATGCCCAATTCATTGATCTCCTCTTTCTCTATTTTATTCATGTAAGCATTTAGAGATATAAAATTTCCACTACGAACTGCTTTGGCTGCATCCCATAAGTTTTGGTGTGCTGTCTCATTATTGTCATTCTTGAAGATGAAGTTATTGTTTCTATGATTGTTGTTTGACCCACTCATTCTTTAGGATTAGATTATTTAGTTTCCAATTAATTTTTAGACTATCTTTCCATTGTCCTTTATTACATGTAATTTTTGTTGCATCATGATCTGAAAAGGATGCATTTAATATTTCCATCTTTCTGCATTGGATTGTGAGATTTTTATGCCCTAGTAAGCACTATGATGTTAGGGACTGTAACTTGTTTCAATTTTGGATATCCTTTGGATTTTAGTACAATGTTTTATGCACAGTAGGTACTTAAGAAATGCCTGGTGAATTGAATAGAAATGTTTCAATATCAATTGAAGTATGAATAGTCCCATATTGTAGAGAGGATTCCTATTGAGGTGTGGGTTGGACTAGACGCCCCTTGAAGTCAATGGCAACTTTGAGATTTTATGATCCAGTGACCTGGAGAAAATCAACGTGTGTTAACACAGCTATACTGTAATTAGAATTTATCAGTATAGAAAGCCACTGACGACCCTCTGAGGGAAGTGTCTAAATGTCTTTTTTTCTTTGTTTATTTCCTGGTGAATTCTCCCAGTCCCTCATTTGATGAGCTATTCCCTTGGAAGGAAAGACAGGAATCCTTGCACAAAATGGGGGTAGGAGTTGGGGAGCAGGGGTCAAGGAGTCCCTTTAGCAGGTCAGAAAGTTCAGTATTATATCTCATCCCAAAAGGTAGAAGTGAAATCAGTCTATTCGTCTTTACTAAGTGCTTCCTTTGAGGACAATCCAGCCATGGTCTTGCAGCTATGAATCTGAGTTTTGCTATATGTTCAACAGGAGGTTTCCAATACTATGAGAGGCCCCAAAGGAGGTAAATTTTTCTAATGGTTTTTTCCCCTACTTTTTCCTTTTCACGAATAAGGAGAAAACTATGAACAAACTTATAGGTCGTCACAGTGTGGGGGTTCCATCTGATAATCAGCCAGGCAGTTTCTTCCTCCCCCGATGGGCTTTCCCTCCCCTTTTCAAAGACTGTGGGTAGATAAGTATCTTTCCTCCCTGAAGCACATATAAGAGCTTCACAGCCAACTAAGGACAGCTCAGAGTCTCCAAGGGTAAAGTCTCCAAGGGTAGACATGCAGGCCAGTGGTGTTCTCCTGCTCTTCTGCACCTCAGCATATTGGCTCCTCACAGAGACTTCCCCTACTCCACCTCCAAACCATTATGAGACAGTTAATCAGCTTCGTGCAGAAATTTTGAACCTTACTTTTGACAAAGGACAGGTAAGTAATCTTCAGGTGTTTTGAATCTGGTTCATTACTTAGAATTCATGGGCTAATTTTGTTCTTGAAAATTGTCTAAACTAACTTCACTCATTTTTTGTCATCCACAGGATTTTGTATCTCTCCCAGATAATGCTGACAGTAAGGTAAGAGATGCTTGTCCTCAGCTGCTTTTTCATAAATTATCTGGGACTCCTGTGGTTATGGATTCATATTTTACATAACAACTCTTGTCTTTCTTATCATGGAGTAAAATCAGTGTGTAAGAGACAATGTGGCATAATGAGTAGAGGCATAGCCTTTGAATCTGGAAGACCTTGGTTCCTGTCTCTGACACATACAGCTGTATGACCCATAGGCCAATCATCTAAACTTATTGTCTCAAATAACTCTCTAAGATTGTAAATTGGAGATGAGTTGCTGATCTCGTGATGCAATTTCCACACTGGGAATTACCTATGTGGATAAAATCACAGGTCTCAATTGCTCCCCAATCCTGCCCCTCCCCCTAAAATCCCAAAACTGTTTACAGATAATAATTATACCTTGCAGGAATAATTGGTCTCTTTCCATTAAAGTCTATATGGCAAAGACCTTACAGTAGTCACTTTAGATACATAACTCTGATATGCCCAGATATGCACACCACAGCATAGTGCAGTGGGAAAAAAGCTATTCAAGGCCATCCCCTTTGAGGAGCAGTCAGGAAAGGTCCCTAATACATAGGATATTGGAGTTCTCTTATGGACTGGGAGCCTGAGGAGCTGGGGTGAGAGCTGAAGTCCATCATATTCAGCACAGGGTTTTGCTGAGAGCATGGGACAGAGATCCCATTAGAGGGTGGCAGAGAGGGGCTTGTCTTCACTCTTTACCCAGTGCAGGAGCTCACATGTCAGAACACACCAGTTTCTACCTTTTAAGACCCTCCTTTATCTCCCCTCTCCCTTATCCCCAAGAAGGCCATGGTAAAATCCAAGCTTCTAGCCCTCAGGATAGGAGCAGAGAGGTCACTTTCTATTTTTTTATGGCTCACCAGTGTTATCAGAGAAACCTGGAAATCTTCATGAATACTGCAAAAACAGCCTTCAAAAATAGTGACACAAGCGAGGCCATTTGTGGCAGTCTGGGAAAAATCCAGGTGAGTCTTGAGTGGAGCTGCCATCTCCACATCTTCTCTGCTAAAGTCAGGGTTCCTTGGCTTAGGGACACCAGATACAGTAACCTTCCTCCTGTCTTTGCTCACTAGAGGGGGGCTACTTCCAAAACTTTTCCCCTGGAAATGACTAATGGTTCACTTCTGTTACATAGCTTTTCCTTTTGTTACCACTCCATGAAGAGTGACTATGTCCATGGGGTTCAGGAGGTGAGAAGGGAGAGGTTAGGCCAGGTGACTCAGGGGAGAAGAGTTTTTCTCAGCCCTCATTTTCATAGCTGCAGGGTGGGAGTGGGGGAAAGCATTTCTTTGGGGAATGTGGAAGAGGGGTGGTGGGGAGAATGGGTTTCCAGGAAGTGAAGTGCATCCTGGGATTATCTAAATTGGGGATATCTCAGGCCCTGTCAAATGCTAGGGATTATGGCAGTGCGTGAGGAGAAGCCCACTCTGGCTATCTTATTTTTGGAGTCAAGGACATGGGCCAGGGTTCTGTGGTCAGTGATCTTGGCCTGTGATGGAGTAAACAAACATTCCTGACTTTTGCTCTAGGCAGCTCTAACTCATCTCTCCTCATTTGCAGAAACTTCCTCTGCCTGGATGCACCTCAGGGGTAAGAAGTTTCCTTTCTTCGTAGTTCCACAGCCTCCATCCCAAAGCCCCATTGCCAGCTCCCTCTGACTTTCCCAATATCTGATGTCAATTTTATGATTTTGTCATTAGGAATGTAACTGCCGTGAAGCCATTTATCCTTTTGAAAAATTGAAAGAAAAACTAGATATATTTTTGCGTCGGATTTTGGTCTTGTTTTCTGAACACAATAAAACACAACACAATTGAAGAAGACAGTTCGCAGGCCACAGACAGATCACCCTTCTACCACTGTTGAGCACAGCCTTCTCCAGACCTTGGAATCTTTGCCTTCATCTCAAAGACCTAGAAAAGCAGAACATATGGAAATGACATATGAAAACATGAACTTTTCATGAGTATGTGAAGCAAATTATTTATTTTTATCATATTTGATACCAGATGAATCAATATTATTTGTATTAATGAAATATATGGCTTGAATTTGGTATTAGTTGGCTAATTTATTTCAGTATATTTATTATATTTATATAATTTATATATTTAGAAAGCTCTAAGCATTCTCTAAATGTGGTTTATTTTCATTATTATTATTATTTATTACTACCCTATTTATGATATTCTCCGTTAAAAATAGATTCTATATGTGTTTACAAATTGTAAGGATCAATTTCAATGGACAGCATAGATGGAATTTCAGAGCACTTTCATGTGTAAATGACTACAAAATTTGATTGCTTTCTGGTTCATTTGTATTTTAAAATAAAGAACATTTAAAAACATGCTTTATTTTTCCATGTAACACTTTTTAGGTAATAGAAAATACCTAACATGTTTTTATTTTAATTTTTATTGATGCCTTTTGCTGCTAGAACACATCTATTTTGGAGAATATTCCTCTCCTCTTCCCAACACTTTGAACCTTCCCTTTGTAACAAATATTGAGAGAGAAATTTTTTTAAAAACCGAGCAAAACAAGCCCATTCATTAACATACCAATCATTTCCTTCATTGGAAATATTCATAACATAATAGTTGTTCATGGTGTTTTGTACTCCCAAACTTTTTTCTCTTTGCTTTTCTTTTTAATTAAAAGTCATTTGCTTTTGTTTTTCCTCCTTAATCTGTGGATCTTACTTCTTTACTGCCCAATTGTCCACAACCTTCTCTCCTCCCACTTCTCTCCTCACTGTGCCCCCTTTCCCCAAAGCAAGCCGCAATTCCTTGCTCTATGTCATCTCCAGAGTCTCTTTCCCCTTAGTTGTCACCCTTTCCCTTCTAGTTTGTTCCTCCTTTTGCTCTTTAGATGCTTCCCCTTTTACCAGGTGTTCTCCTCTTCCTTTGCAAAACTTGACAGAATCAATGTATGTTCTCACTCTGGGTTAATGGAATGGGCCCATGGGGGAGTGGACAAAAAGCTCTGCAACCAGTCCCCAAACCAAAGGTCTGAGAACCTGCTTATACTCATCGCACCTAGCGTGTGGAGTGGTTTGGAGATGGGAGTACAGTGTGAGAATTCTAAGAATTAAAGTTTTCTGACATCATTTCATGAAGTTTTTAAAGTTCTGTGATATGTCTTTTTATACTTCATCATCTTTAATCGATGTACTATATGAAAAATTCTATATTTGATGCATGATTCTCTTTTTCTGATATTATTTGTTTTTTAAGGGAAACTGAAAGCAATGATTCCACCAGTTTGCCAGTCTCACAATCTTCTCTGTTTTAAAATTGAAATTCTCCTTTCATTTTAAAGAAATATTTAGAAAGAGAGGAAGGAAGGAAAGAAGAAAAGAACTACTATACATAGTTCTCCACAGAACTAGAATGATGAATGAGCAATGGATACTGAGAAGGAATGGTCATTAGGAGGAGGAGTCTTAGCAGAGAGTAATGTCACAAAAGGGGCAGATAGGTGGCATAGTGCATAGGGCACCAGGCTTGGAATCAGGAAAATGCATCTTTCTAAGTTCAAATCTGATCTCAGACTCTTACTAGTTGTGTGACCCTGGGCAAGTCACTTAACCCTGTTTGCCTCAGTTTCCTCATCTATAAAATGAACTGGAGAAGGAAATGGCAAGCCACTCCAGTGTCTTTGCCAAGAAAACCCCAAATAGAGTAATGAAGAATTTCACATGACTAAAAATGATGGAAAAACAACAAAATGTCACAAAAACTTGGAGAAGATAGAGTATACAGGGGGAAAAGGTAGTCAACAGTGTCAAAAATGCTAAGGAGAAATCTAGATGGATGAAGCTTGAGAAAATGCCATTTGATTTGGCAATTAAATGATCATGGGTAACTAGAGAGAGCAGTGATTGAGTAATTAATTAGGTCAGAAGCCAGATTATAGAGTGGGTAGAAGAGAGCGTGGAGAGGAAATGTATCCAAGGTAGACTTCTTTTTCAAGAATTTGGCTAAGAAAAAGAGGAAAGTTATAAGATAATTGCTAAAAGGGATATTAAGATCTAATAATGGTTTTTGAAGGATCATAGAAACTAGGTCATTCTTTTATATAACATGGAAGGAATTAGTAGATAGATTAAAGACCTTTTATGTCTTTATGCCTTTATGCCTTTTTTTTCTTAAAACTATTGCTAGCATTTCTAGAACTATGTCACATTACACTGGGAAAGTAGGGCATACTTATTTTATCCTTGTATTTATTGGGAAATCTTCTAGTGTTCCAATGAGTATGAAGAGTTTCTTTGTTTTAGACAGATATATTTTATTCTATGAAAAACTGTCCTTCAATTTCTAAGATTTTATCATTTTGTCCTTTGTCCAGAATGTTTTCCCACATCTATTCATATAATTATGTAGTTTTCAATATTATGTTTTTAATGTGGTTAATTATATCATTTTCCTAAATAGAACCATGGATGCACTAGCATCCTGAGCCTTCCATCTCCTGCTGGGCACAGTGTGTTCCCTGAGGAAAGGCTGCTAGGGGCCAGGCTTATAATACTGCAAAGCCCCAAATCACTCTCTTCCATCTGTGATCAATACGAGGCATCTGCTATCTGCTGATGCTGGCCCAGTCTCCCAATCATCTGAGCAAAGAAGAGTAACCCTCCTTTCAACTTCAGACCTCTCATCTTCTGCTGCTCTTGTCCTTTGAGGGTACAGGATTGGCTCTCTCCACTTAATGATGACCTGGTCACATTCATCATATCCCAGTGACTCTGAACTCCTACAGGTCATCATCCAAACCCCATTTCTTATTCCCTGCTACCTGATTTCTCATTGTCATCTCCCTCAATCCCCTATCCTAAAGTTTCATCCTAATTCCACCCAGCCCTTACACTGTGCCCTTCAGGAATATCTATTCCATAGGCAGCAAATTTCCCCCATAGGCAGCAAATTTCCCATCATCTCATAACTATTCCTCTCCCATTCCTTCCATCTATTAGTTCTTACTGAAACCAAATTTCTCCCTGATAACACAGCCTTCCTGACCAGTCTTTCCAATGTCAGCTGTACCTTCATTCATTCTCCTTGGCTTACTAGTCAAGACAGCAGAATTAGAGTACTCCTTGTTCTTCATTGCCATTTGCAGGTTCTCCTTCTTCCATCACTCAGTAACCTCTCTTCCTTTGAGGAGCATGCTGTTCATATCTACCACTGAATGAAAATCCTGATAGTTTTTGTCTATAAACCACCAAGTCATTCCCCTTCCTTTCTCAACAAGTTTGATACCTGACTTACAATTTTTCTCCCCTCCCCGACTCCTGCCCTTATACTCAGATACTTTGACATACATACTGATTCTCCCTTAAATACCCTAATCACTCAGTTCTTCAATCTACTCACCTCTCATAAGCTATTACTCCACCCCACCTCAGCCACACACAAAGATGTTCATACCCTTGATGTTTCCATCGTTTACAAATGTACCACTTTCATGTTCAAGGATTCTGAAATTCCCCTATCCAAACATAATCTATTGGCTTTTCACCTCTCCCTTTTCCTTCTCTTCATCCACACTGTGACCTCCAATCCCTTGACCATTCAATTCCCTTCCAGGTTACCTCCCCTGTACTAGCCACTCTCTCCTCTTCTCCCCATCTTGACTCCTTGTGATTCAATTTAATTCTACACTGTCCTCCTCTCTTGAGCCTCTCAAACTCTTATCATGTCACTGAGCCAACCCTCAGCCTTAGATCACTCCCACCATTTCTTGTCTTTGTGTCTACACACGTGCAGCTGAATTAAGGTAGAGAAAATCACACAAGTACTCTGACTGGGTCCACTACAAATTTATGTTACATAACCTCAACTGGGTCCTCTCTGCTGCTAGGTAATGGTACTATACCTCCTTTATCAACTCACCATCCCAGTCCATAGCAGTTCTTCCAAACCTTTTCATCTCTTCTCAAACTTTCCATTGCTCCCCCTCTTGCCACTCTCGCAGCTGAGAACCTTGCTGCATATTTTATAGAAAAAAATTGAGACCATTTCCTGTGAACTCCCTCTTCTCCCCTCTTCCTTATCTCCTGTCACTCTGGTGACTTTTGCCATTCTCTCTTCCTTCATCTTTGTTTCACATGATGGCCTTACTCCTTTCCAAGGCTAACTCCTCTAACTTTTTCAAGTGATAACATTCCATCTTGTTTCCTCCAACTATGTTCCCTTACTCTTCCACTTATTTTCAATCTCTCCCTCTAAACTGGCTCCTTTTCTGTTGCCTGCAAACATTCCCATGTCTCCCATATCCTGAAAAAAACTCTGCCAAACTTTCACTTGACTCTTCCATGCCTGTTAACTATCATCCTATATGTCTTCTGCCCTTTGTAGCTAAACTCCTCAAAAAGGCCATCTATAATATGTACCTCCACTTTCTCTCCTCTCACTGTCTTCTCAGTCTTTACATTCTGTCTTCTGGCCTTAACATTCTAACCAGAACTGCTTTCTCCAAAATTACTAATGATCTCTTAATTGCTAAATCCAGTGGCCTTTTCTCAATCTGCCTTCTCCTTGACCTCTCTGTAGCCTTTGACACTGTTGATCAATTTCTCCTACTTGATGCTCTCTTCTCTCTAGGTTCTTGGGATACCACTCTGTCCTGGTTTTCTTTGTATCTATCTAACCTCTCCTTCGCTGTATCATTTGCTGGATATTCCTCTAGTCTAGATCATGCCCTCTAATCACAGAAATTTTTTCAGTGTTCTGTCCAGGATCTTTTCTCTTTTCTGTCTATACTACTTGCTTTGGTGATCTCATCATTATCCATGGATTTAATTATAAGCTCTATGCTGATAATTCTCAAATCTGCATTTCCTGCACCAATCTCTCTGCTCACTTCCAATATCACATATCCAATTATCTTTCAGACATCTTGAACTGGATGTCCAGTAGACAACTTAAACTCACTATGTCCAAAACAGAACTTATTATATTTCCTCCTAAACTCTCCCCACTCCTACCTTCCCTGT